AGCCGAAAAGGTGTGGGTGTGGTTCGTACGTCTCCTCATGGTTGGTTTGGAATCAGGGTTACTGGCCATCTCCCCTAGGTGAACTGCCAGTGGTCCACCAACCCGGCTATAGCCCCGGATGCTGGCTTTTCGTCCTCTCACTTTGGTAGGAAAACACCTCCGCCGCGAGAAGGCAGTGAGTAGGGCTTCCTCAGCAGAGGCTATTTGAGACGCTTGGTCTTATGGGGGCATTTCGTGAGGTGCAAGGGCAGAGTGACCAGCCACAACCCTAGACACCCACCTCCAACAATAATGAGGCCTTGGGAGGCATTATTTACACTTATATCATTTCCTTAAATTATATGACTTTGTGACCTATAAAAGACTGCTGTATTTGGATGGTAAATGAGGCCTCGAAAACGAGCTTGTTTGCCAAATTGAATTCTGGTGAAGTGTCAATCAGTCTGTTATCAGGACTTCAGTGCGTCAATCTGTTTTTCTGATTGAATCCATTGCTTTAAAGCAGCAAGGCTCAACAGTTTTCTGCAGTCAATAAAGAGGAGCATATTGATTTTCGGGCATCCTTCCATAGCGGCGAGGTAAATATAATCAAAAAGCAGGACTGCATGTTCTCTGCATCCTAATGGAGACTTTTTTGACAGATTCGATGATAAGTTCCTTGCTTGTCAGTACCAAGTCCATTGTTGATGGTAGGTGACCTGTTCCAAGCCTGGTGTGGACCTTTACATGGTTAAACATAAGATGTGGGTCTATAATTCGAATGAATGTTGACAGTTCCGGCTTCTTAAAAAATTGCATTTATTTGAGCCTTCCATTTATTTCATACTCTGCAAGAGTGCTCCGTTAGCTAAGTTCGAGGATACAACACGGCGGTCGACTACACCGCGCAAACAACTGCTATCTTTGAACAGCCTCATTGTGCATCAAAGTATGTCCAGGATTGCCTCGAAGAGATCAAGTGGTTTAAATGAAAGATTGCTGCGAAAATAAAGTGCCATACCGCCACCTTGTGCAGAACAATCACGTCTCAACAGGGGCATTCCGGATAGGTGCAGTTCAGAGTCGAGAATATCGGCAGTCAACCAAGGTTCGTTCATGGCAACAAAATCCCATTCAGCAGTTTGCAAGCGCAGTTGCGCCTCAAAGAAATTTGCTAAGGAAGCCTTGTGTGTTTGCATAACAACAGGCTAGTAAGTTTAGGTTTAGGAAAATCCGCTGGGCTTCGAATCGTTATTTATGCCAACCACTCTGAGGTCTGTTAGCAGTAGCTTTCTGGGGAACCGGGGAGAGGGAAGTGGAGTTTGGTTTGGAAGAGGCAGCATGTTAGCCTCGTTTTCTAACTGAGCACATCGTTTCACCTCATCATTCAAGAGTGATCTGAGGCGTAATTCTAATAGTCCTCTTCTATTTTGATACCATACCTGCTAGACCGATGTGACCATTTCCTGGGTACTGAGGATTTATTTTACAAATCTCGAGCCGTCTCCACGGTCAGCTGATTAAGGTGATCAAATCTCCATGGAATCCAATCAGCACTTGAATGAACCCACAGTCTTTACAATCGTTTTGTTAGTATTTGAACTCTTCTGGGTCGTCTAAATTCAAGACTCTATGAATCAATATATATATATGTATAATTGGGTCTAAAGCTGAAAGAACAAGGAAACATTTCAACGTGACAGATAACTTCTTTTTTCCAGCAGGTAATTTGCACTTCAATCGCAAATACACAATTGACACTTGGACGTGAGCAACACATAAAGCATTGCAGAATACCTCATCGATATCGCTAGAGAATCTCCTTTTTATGATCTCAGCTGAGGTCTTCCCCGTGAGCGATTAGGAAAGGCACACTGACTTTTTCTCAACCTCGGATTTCTTCAAAATGTTCTCACAGCACCAAACATTTTTTTTCAAATATATTCGTTTCGAATATCCGATGCTTCTAAATGCAGGGTTAGCGAACCAGAGTCATTTTCCTAATATGCCACCGTCCCCGCAAATCGTCGTGACCCTTTCTGTTAACCAAAAAAACGAGTTCCATCACATTTTGAGCAATACAGCAACTTGGGTCGATCATTCCAGGTTGTCCACCTGTGATTTGCATCAAATGGCCGAAACTACAATTAATGAGGACGTTTGGAAAATTCAATTTCTCCAGTAAAATTTAGGCATTTATAGATATGGGTAAACTTACTCAAAACTTCCCTTGATCCCAAAGTTTATTTTGTGACACAAAGAATGGCCTCCACATATTTCTTCCTGTATAAGAGACACAATCTATGTCGGATGGTAGCAGTTGAGTATTCGATAGTCGGATTACGAACCAGTCAGTGGAAAGCGATCTTCTACATCATCAGTAAACGTAACTTAAACTTTGTGCAAACATAAACCAATTATTTCAGGTTATTGAAACAAAGGTATGTCTCAACTTCGTTGTTTTTTTCTATAATCAAACAGGTATTCAATCGCTATAGTGCAATGGCTTGATTACAAACCGTATAGAAAAGAGGTTGTTTTACAGTTCAATGTTTTTGGATATCCTAATAATTTTAGATTTTATCCATTGCAGCACCAATCTAAAGAGACAATCGTGTGGGCATGTCTGTCTGTTTTGTATTTAAATATTCGTATTTGCAGGATTCACTTACCGACCCTCAGATTATAGTTACAGCGTTTCCCAACAAACTTCGAACGGCTTTTATCACGCGAAATGACATTGAAGCGAGCCCGCATACCTGGATCGTGATAGATATTTGAAAAAAGACTATCGATACAACATATCGCTTATGCTTCTCATGTGTATGCATTTGCATTAGTTTCCATTTCTTGGGCCACTTGGAATTTCAACATTCTCTTCTAGTCGCTTTCATTTTAACAACCAATTTGACAGAATAATCTAATATTACTTTGCACGTAACTTATTCCTGGATAAGCATGTAACATTTTCCCATTGAGTAGTATAACTGTTATCATTTCTCAAACAACCAATTTTATGTGAGAAATGAGGCACTGTCAAAAATCAGGCTTCTCTGTGTGCCTCGATAGAATATTTCCGAAACTCTACTTCAATGTTGCACCGTTCTGAACTGACTTTCGAAGACGGTACCAAACTGATCACTGCTCGTTCTCCAATTGATCACCATCACGATGTGTGCTCCACGCTTCTCAAAGTATGTCCCAAACATTGATCCATTAATCTTATTGCGGACAAAAGAGAGTGTATGGAGATAGAACGTGTGATTCAGCGTTGCAATGGAACCTCGTCACTTGTCTCACAATAACCCCGTTGTTTATGTATATCGTGCTCGGTTCAAGGAACACATCGACCACCGTTTGGTACTAGTTGTCGTTATTCTTGTTGTTGTTGTTCCTACGGTTGCTATGATTACATTTTGTTTGCGCAACCTCTGCACCCGCTCATCCACCCGTTGTTTGTCTTCATCTGCTCCGCTCTTCCCATACACACACACACACGCACGAGTAACCCATTGCCTCGAATCTCTGCTATTTACTCATTCAAGTACATATGGATAAGCCAGCTATAGTGTTACATATATGATTTGTTCTGTGCGTACAAAGAAACTATCCGTCACCTATGTTGTGGAAGACAAACAGGCAAAGTTGTGCAATTCACACACACACACACATTATTCACAGTCCAGAGTTTCAAAAATATTTTTAACTTGAATATTGCTAGAAATGTAGACGGTGTTTGGTCTTTACAGTTCGTGCTCGGGAGGTGGGAGGTATAGAATGGGGCTAGTAAGCTCGGTTGAGTCATTAGGTTAAAGACCACGAGAAAATATCCTAAAAACTGAAAAACTGACCACGGAATGGGCAGTTCGATCGCAAGGACAGTACGCTGTCAAATGAACTATTCCACACGTCCAATATGTTTAGTCAAAAGCCTGTCAAAGTCAATTGTATGAGATGGTATTGCTTCCCATCCAGTTTTCGTCTCTTTTCATCAGATATTGAAACCGTCAAACTGATCTAATTAACTGGAAACATTCTATCTCCATTCACAGCAGGTTTGAAATAAATATACAAACTCATTAACTCCGATAGGAAAACTCGAGTTATCTGCCAAAGAATTAGTTGATTTCATACAAGTGTAAAACATTATATTTCTCATTTCACCTGTAGGATCAACCAAAAACTTTTCCAAATTCTTCTTGCAAGTTGAGCACGTGTCACTTTGTGCAACTTGAACGGAAGTCCATTTTTACCCTTTCTGAGTGGTGAACTATGTTGAATATACTTCAATTCCACCAATTTTCGATTCACAAACCTTTTCATGTTGAATACCAACGGATGAGGCTACACGTCTGTAGAAGCACGTAAACTGTGTTACATCCGGACTTCGTGTACCCTAGGCAGTCACAATGGATATAAAGAATCGGTATGAAACTTGCTCATTTATTTTTCACCACATTTTATTGACCCCTCTTAACAAGAAAATAAATTCTCGGCTCAACAGTTTTTAACTAGGATGACAGAAAAGTCTGTTCTATCCTCACTAAACAAAACAACATTTCTAAACGTTTCTAAGGAGTTTGCTAAATTATTCTGTCGACAAATGGCCTAATGTTTACCATAGGATTGACTATTTATTCCCTTAAATGATAAAATAATGAAGTTAACTTTCTCCTATTCTCCGTGTGCGGCGGTGTATTTACAACCATATCTTCAGATCATGCGGTGAAATCAATAACACTGTCACTGAATTAAGTTATCTACTAAAAGCAAAAGATCAATTAGATTCCGTTAGTCTTGGCTAAGTTCCGGGTGAATCTGTTCAAAACTTCTTTTGGAATGCCCCAAAAGACTCTTATTCTCGAATTTTTGGCAGCAGAGGATATTGATCAAACGTCCAGGCCATCCGGAGAAATAGAGTAGCATTTAGTTCAATATAGGAACCACATATTGATCGAAAGTTTGTTTTAACCGCATCTTCGACAAAAACCATTTATAAAACCAACTGAAGGATCCAAACTGACAAGGGGACATTGCACGACATAAAATTCGACTTTCCTTTGTTCCATATCAAAGTCTGTCTATGAGAAACCCGACCAGTTATGTCCAAATCCTGATCACGCTTTCCAAAACGTTACCCGTGATTTTAAAATCATCCTCATCAAATTGTGGCAATGCACCACTGGATTTGCCCCAAACTGATTTCTGAAGTAAAATATTCAAGCCTCCAAATTCTCGTGTGATCGTTCTTTGAGTGAACTTCGTTTAATCTTGTGCAACAGATCACAAACAATATAAAGTGATTAAAGTGTGTATATTTATTTTGTTATTTACCGTTGCAGGGTCTAACGTAGACCTGTTCTTTAATATACGGTATGCCATTCAGAGTATAGTGTTTAGATTGATGCAGATCCTCGATACGTACTGCTTAAGAAACATTTATACTATGGAGCAGTTTTATCCGTAGCGAGGTAGGCATCCATCACGTGGTTTTGCTAAATACCGGTACGTGTGTGCCAGATGTTTAATCATATCAGCAAACACAAAAAATGCAGTTTCACCACCAGGGTTACTAACGACAGATGCGACCGGATAGCGGTTTTCTACAAAACTGAATTAGACAATTTGACAACGGATAATGAGC